ATCTTATCTTTGTTTTGATTAAAGGAAAATGTTTAGTTTGTACAAAAACTAAATCATTTGAGGTCAAATTTACCTAAGATTGTCGGGGAATTTCATTTACCCCTCAACATCAGATATGCTCATGTACTTTGTGTTAAAAAGACCAGCAAAAACTACTAGATGAGCAGAAATCATTTCTCTTCACATTCTGACCATCCCCCAGGCAGACAGCACCAATGCACAACTTTAATTGTCCTATTTCTTTTGAGAATTTCAGTTTAGAAGACGATTAAAATTAATTGGTTATATACCATTTTAGCTACTTAAAATAAATTAAGCATTTTCTTTTATGTTCTTGCACTAATTTTAAAAAAGAAAAAAAATAATTATCTTAAAGTGCTCTTACAAGTGTATAGGGTAGGGAATTCTAAATCCCTGAAATCCCAGCTTTAGGAAACGAGAGAATTTTTTTTGAATTTGTTCACGTGTCTAGTTACTCCCTGTCACTTATGCGTGTGGTTCAGTGCAAGTTCTTTCACATCATACATACAGCATCAGCTTCTTCCACAGCATCTAGCCACTGAAGGGCTGCTCAGAGGGTCTGGTGGCAATTTTACCATCTGGCTGATATTTATTAGATTGCCTTCAAAGCAATATGGTGTCTGCAGACTAAGAAAAATAAAGAAACATCTGTTATGCAATTCTGAGGTTTCAACATGAGCAAATGTAATGGCAAAGAGATCAATTGGTCTGCTTGTGCATGGGTAAAACACTACTGTGAGTACTGGCTGCTGAGGTCTCCTGCTTACAAGCCATAAAACAACAGATTCATAAATCTCCGACTTAAAAGAAGAATAATGTCTTGCAAAGCATGCTTGAGCAATCGTAAATTGAAAAATGAATTTGGCTTCATTCATTTTTTAAAGTTAAACTAAACAGAAAAAAAAAATAAAACCCAGTGCACAATTTTGATACATGAAAACGGTGAAAAAAAAACAAAGGGTAAACGTTATCTATAACAGTCAAAAGTGCTCTGTCTTTTTTTCTGAAACAGAGTAAGACGAATACGTTTTGGCATCAAATGCACTTACAAGATTGGGACATTTGTGGGTTTAAACACAGGCAAAAGACAAGAGTCTAAGCTACGTCATCAACAATGACAAAGGACCACAAAAGTCTCACATTCTACTCTGGTAGAAAAAAAATATTTTTGTGAGCTTCCACAGAAGAGAAAACACTGCAATACATTGTGAAAAGAGGCATTTTCACTTTAAAATAGAAACAGCCTAGCCAAAGTTATATTTTCAGTATGCATTTACTACACTGTCCTTTAATTGCCCCCTTGTATACTCACTCTATTCACACGCTAGCTGTGGTCTGATAGTGAAATCACCTGCCTCGAATGATCGTTAAGAAGAGCTTTGATTGTGCATAAAAATGGAGCCGTAGGTGGCAAAGATTAATACAGGCAAATTTTATGTAGTGTTTTTTTAAAGTAGAGAACTTGGTCTCGTTCTTACAAAGGTGATGCTCACATGACATGCGCTCTAGGTGTAGTCCAAGAGAGGATTTTATAAAAATAGTAAAAGTTGCATTAGTTGTTCATCATTGCAGAGCAGTCTTAGTGTAAAGTGTATGCAACTTGATACCCTATGATCCCACCATCCACTGCAGAAGGAGAAACTAAATTGCAATGACTATTACATAATTGTTTTTTGCTTCTTTCATGTTTTTTTTTTTTAAATAAAAACACCCTCATCTGGAGAGTGATACAGCATGGTGAAATAGAGTTAAAGCATGGGAGTGTGGAGAAATCAGCTGATTCGGCAGGATGTTTCCAAAAAGGCCTGGCTGAGGCACGTGAATCAATTAGCTGTGAGTACTAACCAAACAAACAAGAGAGCCCAAAGGGGCCATGTTGGAAAAAAAAGGAACTGAAGGTCACAGTACACATGACTTAGTTTCTCCATCAGGCCAACAACATGGACCATCCCAGTTCTGGAAACACAAATCTGTGTCTCTGTCATAAACTGCATCCAGTATTTGCACTGGAGAGGACATTCAATTTTGAGTATTTGTACCAGTAGGACTGTTTATTATACTAAGGTGCTGGTATAGTTCTCCTAACTAGTTGAAAGTAGCTTATACTTTTATTTGTAATTTACATTTAGGTCCTGGTAAAAGATGAGAGACTAAGTTTTTTTTTTCTTGCTGGTATGAAAAGAGAAGCACCTGATGTGAAAAGAAATACCCTGTAATCTTCCATTCGTTGTCAGAATTAAAAAAGATGTGTTGTTTGATTTGGCTTATATGGAGAGTGTTTGGGTTGGCTTATTGAATACACTCAGCGAATTTCATAGGATTTCATTTGTTCAATATGTGGATATATATACTATAAAAAGTACCGTTTAAAAAATTAAACAAGGTTTTTTCTATGTTTACATGCCCTTAATCCACCTAAAGAGGATTTCAAGGCTGACAGTTATGTTTCTCAATAGCAGACCCCCTGTTTCAAATAAAAAGAACACATGCATTACATAAGAATGATACAATGAAGATTAATGTGTATTCATATTGGATCCAGCATGTTCTCTTATGTGAGAGTATTGTACAGTACTGTACTGTAGACTGGGTGTCATCTTATTCCAATCTTATTTTATTCTATAGAGAGCAATACACCAGCTTTTTGAATTGCACTGTCTGCTGTCACTATTTGTCAGCCAGTACTATATTCCCAGCCGAAATATGATAAAAATGAGTCACAGTTTTTTCGATTTTTGTTCTAAAAAAATGAGACACAGATATTAGTAGATGAATACTCAGTGATCTCTATTTACATTGTGGCCAAAAAAAGTAGACAGCACATCATAAATAATCATAGAGGGAAAAAATCACTTATTCTTCTAAGATTAATCACCATTATTCTACACATTTTTTGTACAATAAAATTAAATAGTATAACCCCAATTACATTACCACCGCTTGTTTGGTTAAATAGAAACAATGCTGTGGTCTGTGGTCTGAAGACAACATCTGCAGCACAGAGCCTGTTAGACTGTGGCACAAGCAGTGCTGTTCGGAATGGAATATGAAATCAGTGAGTGACCCTTTCAGTGAATGGAATTCCAGGTTCAGTGGCCATTGTCATTTAGAATATCAGAGCCCTGTAACAGCAAGTGTTCTGAGTATCTCAAAGGGCTCTTAAATTAAAAAGAAATCTGACAATGATTTGAGAAGTAATTTGCAAAGATTGTCCCCTGTTATTTCCAGAAGGCAATAAGTGATTTAGTGACAACATTTTTAATAAATTAGCCATGTTTGTCGTATTCTTATTCGATCACTTCTTCAGTCATGTTGAGCTATATTTTAGCCTGTTATGCTAAGGGGGACCACTGGTTCCGTCAGTTTCCTATTAAAGTGCTTCCAGTGACATTTGTATTACTTGCAGAAATTAAACAAAACACAGCATTACTGTTACCAAGAGGATATTTGAACTTGTGCTGTATTCATGATTTTCATGGTATAATTGTGGTTTAAAACTAATCTGATATATATTTACCCTACCATAAATTTGATCTTAATTCTGACCAGTTAAATGTATATCATAATCTGTATCATAAAGAATTACAGTTATTTCAAGGAACCACCAAGACAGATGTGAAGGTACCAAAATCGACATTAAAAATAGAGACAAACTAAATGAATTCCTCAATTTACAGATTATAAACTTTCATTTAAATGGATTTCATTTATGTACTTTCATTATAAAAAGTACAGATTTCTAATAAAATAGCACAGATGCTGCGTGCTGTATACTGTACTCACAGGATGTGCTGTATATTTGCTTAATGCACTTTAAATAGTGGAACAGACGTATGGGCCATTGATTGCATGAAAATGGAATCTCCTGGAATTCTGCCACTCAGTGTAATGGCTTTGATATCCCTAATGATCATCCCTCCCAATTCACAAGTAGTGCCAAAACCAAATAATCAAAATCATATAAATACATTCTAACAACAAAAACAACAACAACAAATCAGAGTTTAAGATACCTTTGAAACCACCGTGTTTGTATAAGTGCAATACATCCAGTGTTAGACACAGAAGACAACCAAGAGAGAATCTCACAGTGCTACCCCTAAGATAGGCCTTCATGTCAGGACTCTTAGATTAACAGTAAAATGTAATGCTCCAACAAGTACAGTATATAGAAACCTTCTACAGAAGAAGCAGACTTCTCTGTAGGACTTCTCTTGATTGTAATGCAGATATTTTGCTGTTTAAATTCCAGATTTAATACTTAAGATATAAAATACCTCACCAAATCAAATTACTTAAATATACGGTCATACTTTCATTTTTCAAAAAAGTGACATTTTAACAAAGCACTCTGGAGGTTTATTCAAGTTCAAACGTATGTCTAGTTCAGAAGTTACAACTTCAAAAATAATTGCAGGAAGTTTTGTTTCTTAAAATCCTATGTAATTAACTCGTAGGATACAGATTGTTTTGCTGACAGAACTATCTGCAAATACAAGACTGCATCTAGGAAGCTAAATCGCCAAGTTCTCTTGCAAGAGAAAAACCTCAGCTTTAGCTGGCTAACGTTCGGCCTCAACACAACACATACTGTATGCACATTTCAATTAAAGAACAATAACTGAAGAGAAAAAAAACTAAGCAGCTCATCGGGAGACGTCGAAGTAGTTGCTTCTTGAGATATAGAAAGAGGTGTTGTTCTTCTCATGTGACCACAGACCATGAAAAAAAAAAGTCTTACCACTGTACATAGCATTTATTATATATTTTAAATTAATCTGCATAATTTATATTTATACTTTAATTTTCCAGTTTGCATGTTTCTTTTTTGTTTGCGTCTTCTTCCCGTTTTTTCTCCCTCGTTTCCAAGAGATTCTGGCTTCCACAGTCTTTAAGATCTCCACCCCCCCTCCCCCAAACCACCACCACTACCACCGCCACCACCGCCACCCCCACCCTCACCCCCCCTCCCACCGCCCTCCCTCCTCTCATCGGCCTGTTTGATGTCTTCCCGGGCCGCGGGGGTCGTACATCAGACCTTGGCCTCTAGCATTTCCAGAAAGAGTTTGTGCATGGGCACCTTGCCCTGGAGTTTGATGCTGTAAAAGTGTTGGACGGCTTTAGTGGCGGTCTGCCGGAGGAGGGGGAGGGACATGAGCAGTTTGCCGGCCCGCCGCGGGTCCTCCTGGTGCTGGCTGGCCTCATAGTCCTGCAGGGCCTCGTGCAGGGCGTCCTGGAGCTTCTGCACCGCCTCCACGTCCTCGATGTGCATGGAATCTGCAAAGGAGCCAGCGAGAGCTTTTTAATGAGACGGACGTCCTGCACTCGGGCGCCCACACTCCTGCTGGCTGCCCCTGCACCCTCCTGGTACAAAAAAAACAAACAAACCAGGATGCCCACTGTATGCCAACAAACCCTATCAGACGCCAGGAAAGCGCATTGGTTTTTTGTCTTTTGTCTTTTCAATAAAGGAAAACCGTTTCGAAATTTCCAGTGTTGGCTTTCTCTGTTTTTCCAACAGAACTGCTGAAGAAATAGATCCAAATGAGATCTTTTCTCCTGCGTGACAGATAAAAATGAAGCACGCGGACGAGGGTATTAAATTCTATACGTAATCTGACCCCCGTTTTTAAGATAAGTTCAGCACATACATTTTAAGCACACGTTCAGCGTAATCAGCCTGACCCTTAATTTTGAGCGACGTGGTCTTGGTCTGAAATTCATATTGCCTCAGACCAAACTGACTGAAAATCAATGTAATCCGACAGAAACACAGAACACGTGTGGAATGAATATCAGACTGTCAAAGGCCAGTCCCTACAATGGAAGAATGCACACCACAGTTATATTAAACAGTTATATTAAGTCTAACCTGGGATATAGAATTTGTTTCTCAGACGTTGATAACATTCTACTGTAATTACGGTACGTTTCTGTCCTTCCCTATCCATGATATTAGGTGCCTTATTTAGCAATATAAAATCTGTGAACTTAAGCAAGATGCCTCTTTAACAAACTGATACTTGAACATCTTTTTCTGCTTTTTTAATACCAGCAGTTAACAGATCAACAGAGAAATGTATTAAAAAAATATTAGAAAAAGGGGCACTTAAAGAGGGGAGAAGAAAAAAGAAACAAACTTTTAAGATTTTGAAGGCATTCTGAGTATCTGAAGAAAGCTCGTTCCTTTTGCTGTATTTCAGAATAATAATGAATGAAGCTGGGTCCGCTTTTTTTGTTTTATTTCTAAAACCAATGCTTGTTCCACACGTTTGAACAGACCAGAATGTCGTGACAGAGATGAGAATTTGGCTAATAGTGTTCAATTACGTCAATCGTCTAAGAAAAACCAGCATTGACAGCACCAGAGAGAGTGTTTTTTTTAGGCAATAGTGAGTTTGAAATGGATTTGAGGTGCACAGCACTATGGCTTGAAGATCATACAAGTTCTAAATTTTTCTTAGGTTTTCCTTGAGGAACCCTTAGGAAAGCTTATTGTACTAAAATTTGGGTGGTACAGTACATACTGTATACTGTTTCCCCTCAGGTTCACCATGCCTTTGCAGTCTAAAGCAAGCCTTTAAAGGGGGCACTGATTCATGCCCCACTCCTGATAATATGCTTCTCCTGCCTCTGCTTCTGCTGTATGTAAGAGGACAGAGGTTGTGGAGATCTGGCACGGATTTGTCTGCTACACACCTTCATTCTACTGTCCTCCTGAGCAGAAATGTTAATACATTTCTCTCTCCCTCTTTGTCTCAGCTCACCTTGATACATATTTCACATCAGAGGACAATAAAAAGGCAGATTCTTAAATTCTCTAGGAATTCATTGACTGGAACAATTGTATTCTCAAGACCTTGAAACATTTTGTACTGTTCTTGTTTTACTACCTTTATAAGACTCCTTTTTAATGGGGAATAAAAGGGGCAGGTCCTGGGGAAACACAATGACACAGTTGCATCATGACTAACAGTGTAAATTAAGGAATCAGTATTTTTAATGAACACAGCTTGCATTTGTTTCCTATGAGATGCTTCTGTGCTCTGTTGCAAGTCTTGGACAAGCATTGTGCATTTTTCAGATACCGTGTGCGTGTGAAGCACAAACAATCTAGCAAAGCAATTAAAACGTATTTCAAAATTTAAAAAATAATTTCTCATTTAGAATGTCAACTACTGTATATATGTATCCAATATCCTATTTGTGCAGGCGATGAAGAAAGAGTATCTCCAAGCAACAACAGCACTGCGTGCCACAGTGAGCCAAGATCTGTTCTTGCATGCCAGTGAACCGGGGAGCCAAGGGGGAAAAAAATAACTTTGAAGAAACAATTTCCTTGCAATCCATCAGAGGACCTGTGTCGATTCGATTGATAAACTGCTAATTACAAAATCAATGGCTATGAATTTTCACAGCTGTCAGACTGAGTGCTTCCCATGAGAGCGATCTCTCCGAGTCCTTGTTTAAATGTTCAGAGGACTCCCCGCTCTCCCCACCCCCCTGCCCCCAACTCCCCTCTCCCTCCCTAAAAGGTTTGTCATCTGAAAGTAAAGCAAAGCTCCTGATCAGCATTTTCATTTTTCAGAGAGACAAAAAAAAGACCAGGCGGGCATTGATCAGAGAGGGACACGACTGCCTTCTGAAAAGCAAACTGTCGATACAGTTGCAGCATCTTCTCATTGGAACAAACGAGCCCTGTCGCTTCGTGATGCTCATTCCATTCGACTTAACACATTTTATTGACAGCCACTGTGCTCCTAATGAAATGCTAAATTTATCTCCTGTGGCTGGCTTGCCCTACAGCTACTGTTATGGAGATAGAGAGAATGGAGAAATACCACAGCGCACAGCGTATTAAATTAAAACCTCAGAATCATGGCCTTTGGTGGATGCTTTTGGTTTCCTTTTAATATCCATTACTGGATTTAGAACGTGAAAACACGTTCACACACACAAAACCAAACCCTGCTCAGATATGATTTTTGGCATTTACAATTCATGGGAAAACTGTGTTTTACACACACACTAGGTCAGTTGTCTGGTGTGACGTCTTTTCTTGAAACTCAAGACTCAAGCTTTATCATCCGCGTGTCAAAGAACCCGACACCTGATCTGTGGAAAGAGACCTTGGTGTTTTTTATTTGACTTTATTTTTAGGTGTTGCCGTCTCTTCTGGAAACATCCATTAAAGGATAAAACAAAATCGCCCAACACTTACTGTTCTAAGAGAACGTCAAAGCTTAATTTGGCAATACTCTGTCATGCAGATAACGTATAATGGAGATAAAGTATTATTCTAGATTTTATGCACTGTATTTTATTTTTCTTCACTCTCCAGACACAGTTCTAAATAAATTGTCCATGTTTTTCAAAGTGTTTTTAAAAATGCCTATTACCCCAGTAGTCCAACCCTGTTGAACCTATCAGTCTATTAAATGACATCTGCAGGTCTCCTCATCTCTAGAGTGAACATATGTGTGGTGCAATGGAGGATTTCCCAAGTCCCAGTGAAAGAGAGCTTTTCCTTTTCCTGTATCCGCCTTTGAGGAAGAGCCGAGGGGAACATTGCGGGATCCTACCTGAATTGGCGAGCGCGATGGCTTTCAGGGTGACAAACTCCTCCTTCTCCACCTTCAGCTTCTTGTACTTGCGCACCAGCTGCAGGATGGAGACGTAGAGGTCAAGGAGGCCGGTGAGGCGCGAGTGCTCCTCGTCCATGATGTAGTCCTCAGCGTACACCAGCTCGTCCTCGTAGGGTAGCGAGCGGAACACGATGCTGAGGATGAGGATCTCCATCCATGCGCTCTGCAGCAGGCTCATCTGGTCTCCCAGAGACAGGTTGGAGAAACCTGCGCCAGCGAGGAGATAAACACACTTCAGTTCCGTCGCTCCGGGCATCTGCACTCGCACACGAGCAGAGTGGCCATGTCCTGTATGTGTTCCCTAGTTGGGGGTGCACGTCTATTCACACTGAAATATAATAAAAATGTAACAAAAGCAACAAACTTCACATGGATAGGTTTTGGACTGTGTGAGTTCTTTGAATTGCAGTGCTGCGTCCCATACCTCAGAAGCACGTCTGTGAAATATGTGCGCCATTCTTCAGAGCAATTTTACATTTCAATATCATACATATCATTGCATGAGCCCACAAAACGTCACCTCAAAGCGCAACATTGTCAGACTCTTTCTGTGTTTGCTGTCGCGCCTGAAGTCCTGTTGAAGGAAATCCTTGGTCCACGCCAGGGAACAAGGAGTGACCTGCAGTGATTACTTGTTAGCTAACTCCGCTGAGATCAGGGCTGCCACCACTCAGGGGGAAGTCAGCACATTTTAGAGGGTAGGGAAGAGCACACTGTGCCTCGCTTCAATTTCCACTTTAGTAGGCCAACCATTAATAACTGAAACTCTCTAGGCCACTATCCACAGGTAAGAAATGGGCTGCTTAGATCAGCTTTAATATTGGTTACATTTAAAATATTTATGTTGCATGCCAGCTGGCATATGGACGACCAGACCTAAAAAAGGCAGTGAAATAGGTTCTGTCCCAGAAATTAAGAAAAAAAGAAAACTGCCACAAGGAAGAGTAGATACCCATCTCTCCCTTTTTTTTCTCAGCTGTCAATAAACTCTTTAATGCCTCTCATTCTTTCTCCCTGCTCCTCAGTCTCTGAGCGCTCAGTGCGTTTGCCTGAAGGCATCCTATTTTGACAGCCTATTAGCCCCCCTCACACAGTCTGATGATTAAAATGATTGCTTTTACAAGTTTACTGTCGGGCTGCTATCTGCTCCCTTATAATTAAAAGACTGATGATTACTGTATTGACCAGGATAAGGACTGTTCAGCTTTCTCCCTTTTTCTTTTTTTTCCTTCTCGTCTTGTTTTTTTTTAATATACATTATCTCATTCAAGAGGAGTTGGGGTGATGTTTATCGGCCTGCCTGACACTTTTCAGTGTTGGTGCGCTTTGCGAAAAAAGGGGGTACCTAAGTGTCCGATTCCTCTTATCTGGCTGATGAACACAAAAAGAGTGCTCGAGGATACATTAATTAACAGATTGTAATCTGCCTTCACAATGTGAAAGAGAATCGATAGGCGCAAGAAAAGAGGTGATAGAGAGGGTAGGACATCCGCCGCCGTCGTCCAACTCAAACTTCAACACCTTCTCTTTTCTGGCATCTCCCCCAAAATCATAGGATGCTGCAGCCAATGTACAGTATCACAACGCTTTAACGTGTTAGTTTAGCAAGAGCCTCTGTTTTGATCAAGACAGAGATGTAAGGAAATGAGCACCTGAGCCACAATTTGCCCTTCATCCTGCTTCCTAAAATGTCTTTAAATGCTATTTAAATGCTATGCTATTGTGTTGAAATAATACCATAGTCCTGTACATGGAAATGTTTTTTGGTTTTTGCAGACAAACTACCACACAAGGCACAGAACTGTACTAGTGTTAAAAGTCCTACAGTCCCTGCAGTATAATCAACTTTGACAATAATAGTGGCAGGGTAGAAAGCTACAGATTCATCTGTTGTCAAACTGAAGACGCAGTGTTGTTTCTCTCCCTCGCCCTCTCTTTCTTTAAAGCCTAAATTATTGCTCCAAATGGGATCTTGTGTCTTGACTGGCTTTTTCCACTCAATTTAATCCAGTAATGAAGTGACTGCCAGCTCCCTGGGTCAGCTCTCACTCCAGCCTTCCTGCACAGAGGTGCCTGTGTTAAGTGCTGTTTGAGCAGGTGATTTCCTCTAATGAAATATCAATATTTACATCTTCAATTCCAACCTACTGGTTTTATGCAGTTTGACCAAACATGACACAATATTGAACAAGCAGAAGGAAATGTCTAGAGCTGTGACAGGCGCTTCCGCCCGGCGACAGGCCACCAAATGCTCGCCGACCGTATCCGTCGTGTGGGCCGCAAAACTTAACAGGAATGCAAACCCTGCAGCAGACGTGGTGTTTTTTTTTGACAGGATGCGGTTTTCTTCGTTTCTTTAAAAAAGTTTAATGGGCAATTCAATTAAAAAAAAGAAAACCGGGAGGGATGTTTTATTCTTGGAAAATGCTGAGTGCTAACCATATCGAAAGGCACATTCTGTAATGTCTGCTGTTGTTTTTTTTTTAATGGCTGCATTAATGCAGATGGGGAAGCAGGAAATGTGTTTAAAACATTATATGATGAAAATTGTTCAAATGGAGTGTTTCATGTGGCCCAACACAGCAATGCCTTAAGCCTTTTTCTAAACATGCTGAGAATATCTGCCACAGAAGAGTCTAAAAGACATCATTACAAAACCCCATGAATCTCTGTCTCTCTCAAGACTTTCTATTACACAGACGGTCGCAACTATGAGAGAGACATTTTCTATACTGTCACACAGGAAGTGACAGCCGAAACCATCAGCTAAGGTAGAAATGAAAGACACTCAACAGCAGCACCACCAGGAGGTTAATCACTCATTTTACGTCTAATGTGCTCTAGAATGACTTTCCAGACGAGACATCTTCAGGATTAAAATGCATTCACACAGATTTGATCAGATCAGTATCCTGACTGAAATTTCACAGTGAAGCTTGTTCAGCATAATAGAAAATGTAATCAGTTAGTCTGTTGTATTTATAGCACATCATAAACCTGCTCCTTCCAAACATCTCTATACAAAATCAAGCTCACCATCAGTATAGTGTATGTTTCATACTGTTACAAATATATAAACTGAAAGCTCTTTCTGATTTTCAATAAAATCCATTGCATATCACACACAGCCATTATTTATATTTTAGTTTGTATAGCTAGAAAACTAAATGAACACTTTATTTGTTAATATACAAACTACCTTATTCTAATCCAAGGAAAATGAGTAATTGAGTCAAATGAGTCATTTTCACGATATCCTCTTTGCAAAAAAGCAGACTTGAGTGAATATTGTATTCTAGAAAATGGACAAGAATAAGTTTCGTGCATTGTGTTGTTTAACATCAAAACCTAACACAAAGCAAAGATCCGACGAAGGTAGCCCTTGTTTGATGGCGCATGAAACGACATTGGTCGAAGTGAAACTTCTCATATTAACGGCTCAAGGCGGTTTTCAACACAAAGGAAGAAAATGTTTTAACTCTCCGTTGTCTTACTTTTTGATTTGTTTTTTTTTTACCCTTGAAATTTGTGTTTGCCTGGAAATTAGCCCAAGCGCACTAAACGGTTTAAAAGCTCAACAGTAATTATTTTACTAATATTATTTTACAGTCGATGCTAATTTTGACCACAGCGTGATCAGAAATTTTTATATAGTACCACCTCCTCCTAGTTCGTGTTATTTCTATAATTCATGACCGGCTGCCCATAAAAGACACACAGCCACAAAAGTTGCTTCTTATCACAGATGAGACTTCAACAAAATCCCGCCGTACAGAATATACGATTCTGATTATTTCACGAAAATGTAAAACACAAACCGAAATATCTATGCTGGTTGCACCTGAACCCCTGTGGCAAAGCAAAACACTGTGTCATAAAGCATTTGTTGAATAAACAAGTAATATTGCTCTTTGGCAGCTTCTTGAGTTTCTCTGCTAAAACTACCTCTTTGACCGACCCCCAGTCTGACTTCATAGCCTTTCAATTAAGTGCGTTCACACAGTGGCGACACAAATTTGACCGTCTGTTATGCAAATAAACTCCACAGCACGGTCCGATTCCCGACCAGCACACAAAGACAACCTCTACAGCCCCGTGTAGGAACAAGGAAGGCAGGTAGGGAGAATCGCCTAAAAAAGAGATTAAATAGTGAAGGTGACAGTAAAAAGATAAATAGATTTTTGGACGTGATTAAAATTGAGCGCGTCTATATAATCATCACAGCCGGTATCTGCGCTCTCTGGCCCTCTCAGAGGAATGCCATTTATTTAGCTTCCAGCAACGAAAAAAAAAAAGGCAGAAGGAAAGTGAAAAGGGGGAGTGCGGGGGGACAATCTCTCCTTCTCACTTGATAAATTTCAAACTGTCATGTTTATCTCAAAACAAATCTGTCCGGAATCATACAGGCGAGAGATACTCCCCCCCTCCTCCTCCTCCTGCTCTCACCACCTTTTTTAAAATGCTTCACTTTCTTGTCCCTTCAGACACATACGTTTCCACTTTCTTTTATTGCTTTTTTTTCTCCCACCAAAAAAAAAAAAAGTCGTTGCGAAAAGAACTGGTGGGAGAGCCAGCAAAACGACCGCCGGAGTGATTGTACTGTCCGGTCCACGATCAAACTTGGGAAGACGGGCTGCTCAAGTGATCAGCGGGCGTTTAATTTTTCAGAGCTAGAACTAGAATTAAAATCTCCTAATTTCTGTTGAGCGGAGTTCATATTCTATTAATTTATTATTGTTTCCATCTCCCTGAGGGCCATTAGTCCTGGTAATAAAAGGAGATGTAATTACGAGACTCCATTGCTCCTCCAGATGCAGTCCCCTCGTATTTCATTCTCAATCAGAGCTCCTGGCCTTTTTTTTTTTCCCCGAGAGCGAGAGTAATTCTTACTGGACAGGGACAGATCTATCACAGCCAACAATCAGACAGCTAGGCAACCCCAAAGCTGCAGTTTTTAACCACCAGCAATCTTACTTCAACAAGCAAAGTGCTCTTTGAGCGTCTATTTATAAATCCGGCACCTAAAACCAAGATGCTTCCAAATCAAATTGTTCAAAAGGATGTGGTGTTTTTTTTTTGCCAGATTTTATTCAAAGTGCACCTTACCTAGTACCATGAGTAATATCCCTTCTATCAAAATGAAGATATACTGTACTCCAGGTTTTATTTTCTATGTAATCAAAAGAGAGTTTTAAAAAGATGTTCTG